CCCCCCCGGCACATTTACTGTGTTGTTTTCATTTTTTAATTGCAGTTTAGTTTCCCCTGCACCCTCCAGATGCACAGAAGTAACTAAATGACAGAAATTGGACAGCACGAATGCTTTAACATTTGAAGTAAAATGCCTGCTACTCATTTCCTTATCACAGATGTGTGGTGATTGTTTTCCTTTTCCCATACAGCTGACTGGATAATAAATCCGTTATTTGAAAGAGTAGTGTCTGTTTTCTGTGACACTGCATATTTAAATTTAATTTTCAAAAGTCTGGCTATGAAGTTGTTTGAGAAACTAAGTAGGATTACCAAATTGTAGTAGTTTCCCAGCATTTAAAATTTTTGTTTCAATTGCCCAGTGGAATGCAGGAAAACGGCTTCTCACGTGCTTTTCACATTTTATGCCTCAGGTAGAACATGAAAAATGCATTGTTCTGCACTTCATATTTTGAACAGAATTTATAGGCAACTTATGATTTAAAAATGCATCTACTTTTCTTTTGCCTTTCTCTTGCCTTTGCTTTCAGAAGGAATTTTATTTTTTGGTACAGTAACATGTTTCACCTATGAGTACTGCTTTCTCTTCTTTCAACATGCCTTTTTTAAAATAAGGGCCACTGAAGAAAATGTATGTAAGGTAAGCTTTTGTGTTTAGAAAAACTTCCCATATTTAAAACATACACCTAGATATGTGTGAGTATACACATATACTAAGTTAAAGGGAAATTTGTATCAACACATTTGTGTAGTAATTATATTGAGAGATTCCAAATTCAGTAGTCAGGTGCTTTAAGAAAAGAAAATATGTGTTTGCATACTTTTTTTTCTTTAAGTTTTAAGTTATCTTCTCTTTAGGCTCTTTGTAGCTCTTTTTAGCTTCTCCCTATTCTTCATTTTCCAGAGGTATTTTGAAACCTCTGATACTAGTTGACTCTGGAGATAATATTAGTATGCTGCTGAGTAAGCCATTTACTAAATTATTTTTGTGACGACTCATGTTAATAAACTGGTGAGGAAAGTGTTAGAAATCCTAAAGATTTTGTTTTTGTATTTTGACACTATACCTAGTGCTCCTGAGGTTCTGCTAGTTTTAGAATCTGTATAAAATCCAGTTTTTATGACACTGGTTGCTTGAAGAGCAGCTGAAGAAAATCAAGTAATATGCCTATACTTCAAGCTAAAGAAGGCATATTTGTTAATTATCTATATCTTTTTAATGGAAATCCAATTTGACCTATTACCATCAAAATATCAGATATACTGTAAATAAATGGTTAGTGGATTTTTTTTTCTCATTAATTCCAGATTTGTTAAGTGGGAATTGTTAACAACAGGCTACTTACTGTATGCTTACTTAGCTTTGCTTATAGCATACAAAAATGACTTTCCTGAACTTATTGGTAGGGCAAAGGAAATGTATACTGGGTGTTAAGGGTGCGTTAGTATACTGTAAGTTAACTATTTATTTTTGTGCCTTAAAAAACCTTAAATAGAAAGTTGCAACTCTGCTGAAACTATTTTTTGTGTGGTATTACCTAGTTTTTGTGCATTAGAAGGGATCTCTATGTAGATGATTATAATGTCACTTTCTGACCTTTGCAGCTTGAATAATTGTAAATCATTGCTTCATAACGTGTCAGAGAATGTCTGTACTAGGCAATTAAATGGCAGAATATAATAGACCAAATTATTGCCTGTCATGTTTTCAACAACACAGTTAGTATTTGAGTTACACTTAATCATTACGTGCATTAGCAACTTCATTGGAATCCAGCTTCAGGCTGAGCATGAAATACATTACATTATTTAAACCTCTAATGGTAGAAGTCATTTATTTGTGTTGAAGTGTACAACATGCAGAGTTTCATAAAGCAAGGAACACTTGAGAGCTTAATTTATCCAAATCAAAGTCTAAATGCAGATAAACACAAGTGGCAAAAATTAGTAATTTTTATAGGCTGGAAATATTTAAAAATACAT